TGTGTGTGTGTGTGTGTGTGTGTGTGTGTGTTTGTCCCACATTTTATCTCGCACTTTCAACTCGGGAGCCACAAAAGCTAGGCGGTTGAAATTTTAGTATAGTGTTCCCCGCCAACGGGTAACGCGGCAAATTTAAATTCAGCCTTTCCATAACCCGCTGGTAACACGTAGGGCCCCGTAAAAGTTTTTCGGATAAAATCAGTATCTCAAGAGTCACGGAAGATTGACAACTGGAATTTTGTGGTCATGTATCCCGCCCATGTGCTATCCAAAAAATTTAAGTTCAGCTTTCCCCTGCCCGCGGGTAACATGTACGAACCCTTGAAAATTTTTGACTAGTAAATTATTATCTTGGGGGCCACAAAGTCTACGAAGCTGAAATTTTAGGGTTGCGACCACTTGCACACGAACGATCTTGCTAATACATATTCAGTGTTCCCGCGCTCTTGGTTATCACCTACGGTCTAGTGAAATTTTTATGTGTAAATTATTATCTTGGGGATCACAAAGTCTACAAAGCTGAAATTTTTGGATAATGACCCCCTGCCCACGCTTAACCTTGCCTATTCAAATTCAGTGTCCCCGCGCTTTCGGGTGTCACCTACAGCCTCGTGAAAATTTTGTCGGTTAAACTATTAACTTAGGAATCATGGGAAAATATTCGCCCTTCAAGGTTTCGAATTCAGCTTTCATGCGCAGGCGCGTGAAGTTTTTAACTATTTTCCAATGTTTCAACTATTTTTGCATAGACTAAAGTACAGTTAGCAGTGAAAATCATTAATAGGCAATCGTTCGATGGGCTGAATTATACAAAACGCATGATCGTACCGGCTAGTCTGGTGCGCGTTGCTATTTATCGCCTACTGTAGCAAAAACGCGTGGAAGCCCAGCTCCATGGTTTCCGCAACTCGAATCCGAACCTAAAAATGAGTGCATTTTGAGCCGTCGAACCAAGCTGAGTTGCAGTAGTTAGTGGCGCGCATAAAGTCTCGTGTGATTGGAGGGGCTGGGTAATTGCGCGTAACTGAGAGTTGCGAAGCTCGTATCCAAGCCTGTAGACGAGCACAAACTGACTCATAGTAACTGCGTTTTAGAAGAGAGCTGCCGTTTCGGCGATGGGGAGGTGTGCCATGAATGATGCGCTCTGCGAACTCTCAAGCGAGCGTGCTTGCTGTTTGGCGTTTTAGCATTGCAGTAACAGCTTTGCAGGCACATCGCTGCAGGGGTTGCCGGGTGCTGGTGCTCGTCCAGATGGCTTCGGCATCATCGAGCGGCGAGGGCCACGGTGAGGATGTTTTCGAAATCGAGGATTTCACAATCGTTACAATCAAGGAGGCACTGTCCGCCGAGATTGAGCAGCTGCTACGGCGATGGAACCTCACCGGCAACGATGACAACATGTACTCATTCACAAAAGTATGTTGGTTCGCTCGCAAGCGACGCTGATTTATATGTGTACAGCAAAATGTGAGTGTTTTGCAGGAAGCATTTGCGGGCTGTGAGTGGGATTCGCGTTCCGAGCAAATAGCTTATGGCAACAATCGCTTGCTTTTCACTCACTGTTGGCCGAAAACGCTACAGAAATTGGAAGGTGGTGGGAGGTCAAGTGATGCTTGCAGTGTCGATCTGTCGGAAGATTTTTTGACCAATTCTGCGAGATTGGCTTGTGCAGCCGAGTTGGATTTCTGCCCGGGATCTGTTATTTGCAATCAGGTGACTATTACGCTAATAAATGCACTTTATTGTTAAAACGTAGGCTGGAACGCACCAGGCGAGCCGGTACGATCATGCATTTTTGCACAAAACTTGAAATGGGTTAATTGCACGAACGGTTGTTTCTTTACACCTACCTTGTGTGCTTTATGCAGAAAATCATGGAAATTTTGCATAAAAAGAAATAAACTATTC